TATAGTTTATCCAAGTGCATGATGGTATGCAACCCAAATGGACCATGCCGGGTCGGGTCAAGTCTTACCAATTATAGTTATGGACTTAGACATTAATCCAACAACTATGTCATTGATTGCGATAAGCATATCATCAACATATAGAGACAGATATATGTAGGAATCCCGTGAAGATTCCTTTGAGTAGACACAATTATCAAACTGGTTCCGAGTTTAGCCATGCGAGATCATGAATGAATCAAATCTCTTGTACCATTGTCTTGGAGACTGCTTCAATCCATACATAGATTTCTTCAGCAAACATACATTATCCTTCTTAGAATCAAGTAACTCTTATGGCTAGGACATATAAAGCTTCTCTTCTAAGTCCTTGTGAAGAAATGCAGTTTTCACATCAAGTTGTTCAATCTCCAAATCAAATATACTCACCAAAGCCAAAAGAGCCCGAATCATCTTATGCTTCACGATCGGTGAGAACACCTCGTGACAATAAATTCCTTCTTTCTGAGGAAATCCTTTCGCCACAAACCTTACCTTAAAGCTAGCTAGTTCAACTCCATTTTTTAAAATTCACATTATACTATATATATATATATATATATATATATATATATATATATATATATATATATATATATAAGTTTAACACATATTATACCACTAGTACCCCTCATTCACAAAGTCATACTATAAGGGGAGTTTAAGGAAGTGGCCTATAAAATGACCGCCATTGGGTATCCATTCTTACCCACCGTTCTCTTGTTTGGTGGAGGGTTGTTAGCCGAACGGATTTGATAGGATAAATTAATCTCATTAAAATTATAATGATATAAAGTAATTAAACTATTTTAAATGCCACTCTTAGTTACTTTAGGAAAAAAATGTGAATTTGTTTGCTAATCCATGAATTTTCACATTACACTTTATGAGTCATTAGTGGAGCGTGTGTGGTTAACCGACACACTAATGAGGGACTTATAAAGGTTGGTAATGGGTGTCTTAAAAATTACCGTTGATTAATGGAGTTCGTCTGGTTAACCGATACACTAAAACGACATGATAAATGACATCAAGAGTACCAAGCTAATTTGCATGGTTATTCACATCTTGTTTGTGATCCTAGGCATCCCAGTCACAAAAGTGAGAGCATATCGAGATTAAACATGCCATTAAATAGTTCAATGAATCTCAAAAGATCTAGGAGTTTCATGAGATTGAAATTGGTAAAAGCCTTACCTACCCAAAATAGATTTGAATTTGATTACAACATCCTTCTTCAATGTTCGAATCGAAAATATGGACCCTAGCCTTAATTTAAATTTATGGGTTAATAATTAAGGGTTAAAAATCAAATAACTTGAATTCTCTTTTCTTCTATTATAGATGTCAAGTTCAGACAACAATGGTCTTCCTTGTTTTGGGGGGAAGTGGTTTTCTTCTTCCTTCTGAAGATGATCTTCCACATTCTGATCAAGGTGAAAGTATGTTCCCTTCTTCAACGAATGGTGGAGTTGGAAATCATGCTTCTTAAACTCTTCCTCCTCCTCCTCCTCCAGTGACTCTCCCTAAGTCATGTTTTCTTCAAGCTGAAAAATACGAAGTTACTCAAGCCCTGTTGATATATAAACATAAAGATGGAAAGTCTATGTTTGTGCATGTTCTGAAATTGAAATTGTATATTGACAAATTAGATATGTTGGGTGTCATTTTCCCAAGGGAGCTGGCCATTGACTTGGTTCTGCTTTTGCATCCTGAGTCATTTAGTCAGTTCATTAAAGACTACTATATGAGTGATCACGACGTGACCCTAATTGATCTGACACATATGTTGATTGTCGTTGAAGCATAAATGCTTAAGAGCACAAATCAAGCAAAAGTTTTTGAAGAATATTGTTTGGTGCAATTTGTGTACCTTTTTGTACACCTTTTAGTCCCTTTTATGCATCTATTTAACATAGTTGTTATTCGTTTTTTGTGCATTTCATCCAACTTATGTTACTCTCTAGAATAACCTTATTTGCATGTTTTCATGTTCTTTTCAGGTAAACCGGAGGTTAGAACGCGCTTTGGGAAGTGTCAGGAAGCATTGGTGAAGATTTTAAGATGATCGCCCGAAGAACAGAAAATTTGGAAAAATCAAGTTTGGATTCGGAGTCAGAGGAGTACACGGGTCGTGTTGGATTTACACTAAAAAGTGGGCAATGGGCATGTTTGACCAAGAAGAAGCTGTTGACCATACTGAAAACGACCCATGTCAGTTTAGCTTATTTTAACACGAGTAGTGTTGAACACGACCCGTGTCAGTTTAGCCTATTTTGACACCGGCCGTGTTCAACCCAAAAACTGCCTTTTGACAGTTTTTCCTATCTTTCATATTACAGGATGAGGGTCATTTTTACACACACAGATGATATTAGAGCATTGTTGTTGAGGGGATTTCTAAGGTTTTTTCAAGGGTTTGATCATTTGTCATTTGGAAACATTATTTCTCTTATTTGTAATTTGTAATTGCACATTATTTCCATCTCTTCAACTTGTGATCTTGTTCTAGCCATGTGTGGCTAGAACCCTAGTTTCTCCAATGTCATGTTTTGACTTTTTAGTAGTGATTTCAATCATATAACATGATGTTTGCTTTTAATTTCTATCTAGTGAGTTTGATTTTGATTTAATCTAATGTTTGAATCTAATTGTGATTCTTATTGGCCATTTGAATTAGAGTTAGGTCACTCAAGTTATCTCTTTTACAAAATCGATAATTGTTTTGTGAAATTGAACAAGTAACAAGCATTAAATTGAATTCTTTTGAATAAATCTAGTGTAAATCTTATTCTTACATTCTTACGCTCCCGAGCTTGTGAGGAGTATTGGGTGTTGTTGGGTACATTCACCTAAAGTTTAATGCAATCTTTTAATCTAATTCTAAGAGCTTGTTTAGACTAGGTTAGTAAGGTTAGGGTTAATCAAAGAGCTTGTTTTGGTTAATTAATGTAGTGAATGGGAATTGTTAGAGCTTGTTGACACTTTCAAGTACCAACTTAGATAGAATTGAGCAAATGTCTAATCATCTTTGAATCATATTGCTAAGTTGTCATACATGAAGTTGGAGTCTTTATAATTTCTGAATTTAATTCTCCTTTTAGCTAATTACATTTGACTTTAATTTGTTTTTTTGATCATAGCATTCAACTCCCCCCCTCCCCTCTTACTTTTAGTGACCAAAGTACCTTGTGCAAAAAGGTATAGGCTGATTGTCCCGTGTCTCTGTGGATCGACCATACTTACCTTTTAGTGCAATATAGTAGTGTTCTTTTGGAGTATACCGTACCCCTTTATTTGTTGGGTTTAACACGTCTAACAAATATGTCTCCCAAATTTTCATGGACATTGACGATGACAATAATGGTAGTCCAGAAAATGTTGCATCGTCACCAAGGTTTATCAAATAGGCACGAAGTTGCATCGTCACTAAGGCTTACTCAATAGGCACGAAGTCCCATCGTCACCAAGGCTTACTCATTAGGCACGAAGTCGCATCGTCACCAACTATTCCATCTACTCATGTTCTACCCAACATTTTTGTGGATATAAATACAAACACAATTTAAATCATTTAACAAAAAATATTAATTCCAAGTCCATCTCAAATAGATAATTAATATATAACACACAACACGTATTTCATAACTAATACTTTATTATGTGTTAGAAGAAAGTAATTATACACTCACGCATATAAACAACAATATATATATATATATATACACACACACACACACACACAACACGTATTTTATAAAATACTTCGTATCTATGTGTAAGATGAGAGTGACTATACACTCACTTGATCAAAAGATGATCGGACAACACTACGACTTGTAGAAGTAGTATTCTTGGGTAGATCTGGAAGATCTTCACAAAAACCGGGCTTCTCACGGGCAGGGCTTCGGCTCGGGAATCTCATTTCTCGGGATCCTCGGAGCTCGGGAATGATACCGGGGCTTCGGGATATAATTGGCACGCAAATCGAGACAAAAACTAAAGAGAAGAAAGAGTTTGAACAAAAGAAATTGGCAACTCTCGCATTCTATTTATAGGCTGCTGGGTCTGGGAGTACGCTGGGCGTAATTTTGGTTATGCTAGGTGTACGCTTTGGATAAGCTTTGGTATGTGTGCCACGATCTTCAAAAATTCATAACTTTCGCATACGAGTTCCGTTTTCGACGTTCTTTATATCCACGCGTAAGTGAGATTATTCTCTACAACTTTCATTTAGACTCCGTTGGCTAATTTTGATTTATTTTTTTATTATTTATTTTTAGTAGGCCGGGACAGAAAAACTTCGTTAGGAATTCATAACTTCTTCGTCCAACGTCCGTTTTTGTCTGTCTTTTTACTGTTGGACTACTATCAACAAGATCTTCGATTATCGTTTAGATTGTTTTGGCTAAAAATCGCCCGATCTCAAATAGAGTATTCGGGCTGTATACTGCTAAGTCAAAACTTAGAAAAATCATAACTTCCTCCTACGAAGTCAGATTCGGACGTTCTTTTTATGCACGCTCATGGTTTAACGAACGCTACGACTTTTGTTTAGATCGCTAAGGCTAAATATCAATCTAACGTAAATCCACTTTTTACGTCATTCAACGTCGTGCCGGTTCTGTCGCGAAACTTCGATAGGTCATAACTTCTTCGTTATAGCTCGGATTTCGGCGTTCTTTATATGCACGAAAACCTTGTGACATATACTACATCTTAGTTAAGATTATTCATTCTAAATAATCTTCTAACAAAAAGTTGTTTTTGACGCTTATCATCTCTAAATTGACGAACCATAATCTACAGGCGTTACAGTAAAGAAAGGATATGTTGGGTTCAATGGCGCTACAGTTTTAAACGAAGCTATGGTCTTCAAGTGGTGATGACGGTGCTAGGGTTTCAATTGAAGATCAAGGGGATCAGAGGAAGAGAAACCTACGGTGATGATGTTATTTCTGATGTGGTCTACATCTCCTGCGGAGGTGGTACTCGTTGGACGTGAACAAAGAAATGGAAAAAGGTTTTGGTCCAACGGTCAAGAAGGTTTCCGGTGGTGGTTGTCAACAAGTCCGGTGGTGTTTCATTTTCCGATGTTAGTGCAGCCGGTTTCCGGTAGTGGTGGTGGTTAAATATTATTCAACAAAAAACGAGAAAGAGAGTAGTATATGAAATCAGAAATATAAAAACTAATTCAAAAAGTAATTAAAATAATTTTTAATAATTAAAAGTAATCAAAAATATAAAAAAATAAATGAAAAATGACATTATAGTCATTTTATTTCTCGAAAGTGATGAAGCGTGCAAATTTAAACTACCAAGAGATTAACTGTGCTATTTTTAACCAAACAATAGACGGTCCAAATTGATTTTTTTAGAAACTATACGTGACTTTTGGAACATAGGCAATCGACGATTTATGTAATTTACTCATATTACTAATTTTTCGTGTCAACTTTTTATGTGGGTTAACAAGTCCGGCCTGGCCGTGTGTCTTGAAGTGGGCTAACTCTGGTGAGGAGATTATTTTATAAAAAAGTTTTATTGCAAATTGTGATATTCATGTATTCTGCCTGTTGTCTAATTGAAAGGCTGTGAAATGCCCAGCAAACACCCTGCAACTAAACCAGTAAACTACACCCCGATAATCTTATTGCATCATAGATAAATCTTCCAATTACCAAATCGCCAATATTACCATCTTCTTTATCTTTTTCTTTTGATCGAACCTATCTAACTTCATTCGTATCCTGTAAACCATGCTTTCCATCTCAATCCCAAAATTTCAAGCTTCAAATTTGTAAAAACGATGCAAGCTCTGAGTGTATGCCCATCAAACACTGATGGTTTCTTGAATCGTGAATCGCCCCCTCATTCTGGGAGGAGAAAAGGTAGAAACCCTAGTTTTTTCAGGGGTGTTAGAAGTGGGTTTAATTATAGGGAGACCAGTGATGATTTGGGATATGGATTTCCTTGCAGATGCTCGAGAGTTAATCTTTATGTGCTTTGGAGACCAAAGAAGCATTCAATTTGTTCTTCGGTTGTCCCCTTGGCTTTAGCATTTGAAGAACAAATAGCTGTGGGTAAAACAGATTCAAATTCAGATGGTGAAAACAAACCAGAAGATCAGAAATCATTGGTTGAAAACAAGGGCAAAAGGGTAGATACTCGTGCATTAGCATGGAGCTTACGAGCTGCAAAAACCGCAGAAGATGTAGAAACAGTGCTCGGGGACAAAGGTGATCTTCCTCTTCAAGTTTACTCTACAATGATTCGAGGATTTGGCAAAGATAAAAGGGTGAATTCCGCCATTGCTCTTGTTGAGTGGCTAAAGCTTAGGAAACAGGCTTCCAAATCCTTTCCCGGTCCTAACCTCTTCATCTACAACAGCCTTTTGGGCGCCTTGAAACAAGCAGAAGGATTCGATCAAGTAGAAAAAATCATTACCGATATGACCCTCGAGGGTATATCTCCCAATATCGTGACTTATAACACGTTAATGGGGATTCACTTGGCTCAAGGCCACGAAATGAAAGCTCTCGAGCTTTTTAAAGAGATACAAACAAAAGGTTTATCTCCTTCGCCAGCTTCATATTCCACAGCGTTGTTGGCTTACAGAAGAATGGAAGACGGGTTTGGAGCTCTGGATTTTTATGTCGATTTCAGAAACAAGTATCAGAATGGTGAGATAGGAAAGAACGATAAGAATATAGATTGGGATCTTGAGGCTGTGAAGCTAGAAGATTTTGTGATACGAATCAGCTACCAAATCATGCGAAGATGGCTAGTACAGATCGAGAATTCCACCAGCAAAGTCTTGAAACTTCTAACTGTTATGGATCAGGTCGGTCTAAAAACGGGAAGGTCTGAACATGAAAAGCTCATATGGGCATGTACCCGTGAAGATCATTACATTGTTGCGAAAGAATTGTACAAAAGGATACGAGAGAGTGATTCAGAAATAAGCTTATCGGTTTGCAACCATGTGATTTGGTTACTTGGTAAAGCTAAGAAATGGTGGGCAGCTCTTGAAATCTACGAAGATTTGCTAGATAAAGGACCAAAACCAAACAACATGTCGTATGAACTCATCGTTTCCCATTTCAATTTCTTGCTGACTGCTGCCCGGAGGAAGGGGATTTGGAGATGGGGTGTTGGATTACTGAACAAAATGGAAGAAAAAGGACTAAAACCAGGGAGTAAAGAGTGGAATTCGGTTCTAATTGCTTGTTCGAAAGCATCCGAAGCTTCGGCTGCGATTCAAATCTTTACAAGAATGATCGAAAACGGTGAAAAGCCCACGATTATATCATATGGGGCACTTCTTAGTGCTCTTGAAAAGGGTAAATTGTATGATGAAGCAGTTAGGGTTTGGAAACATTTGATTAAAATGGGCGTAGAGCCGAATTCATATGCGTATACGATCATGGCTTCGATTTATGCTGCACAAGGGAAGTTTAATATAGTTGAATCGATAATCCGTGAGATGCCGGTTTCTGGGGTGGAGGTAACGGTGGTTACCTTCAATGCGATTATCAGTGCGTGTGCTCGTAATAACTACGGTGGTCCGGCGTATGAATGGTTTCAGCGTATGGAGGTGGAGAATATTGAAGCTAATGAGGTTTCATATGAGATGTTGATTCAGGCACTTGTAAAAGATGGGAAACCGAAGGTGGCGTATGATATGTATTTGAAGGGTCGGAGGAAGGGGTTGAGTTTGTCGACGAAAGCTTATGACACGGTGGTTGAGGCAGCAGTTGACGGTGGTGCGAGTATTGATTTGAGTTTGTTGGGGGCTCGGCCACCGGCACCGGCACCGGAAATTAAGAAAAGGACGGACGTAAATCAAGAATACGTGGACATTGTAAATGACTAGGGATTCATTAATAAATATCTCGTTTGCTTTTTGGAATCTCTTTAATATAAATCCACAGAAAATAGCTTTTAAATATTCCACGATGTTTAAGATTGTTTGTACGAAAAGAGATTAATTTCTTTACGTACTAAAGTTTTTTCATATTTAATTTTTTTTTTCTTATTTAAGTTTGTTAGTTAAGACTGGTGAAATTATGATGATGACATTTTCATAGACCGCATTTTCTTGGAGTAAGATTTAAGATATCATTGTACTAGATTGAGTGAGAACTTAATACAAAAAGTATTATTATATTATTAAATTGCTATTTTTGAAGTGGTTGTCTTGTCGACGTATAGATACAATACTTTTCTATGACATAGCTATATTAAAACAATGAATCTATTTTTATCAATTTATAAAATCAGTTGTATAATATAATAAATCAAAAAACGTAACCATAAATACCGATAATGAATCTATTTTATTACATAATTAGTAATAAATATTAAATATCATCCTATTTTTTTTTTCTTGCATCTCTTTTTATTCATATGAAATTATAATATATGTAAAATTAATTAAATTTTTAGATATTTGTCATTAGAAAAATAATTAAAAAGAAAAATAGAAATATATTTAATTTCTCTAAATATAATTAGTGATTTAAAAAGTGATCAATTATAAAACAATCGAATCAGTTAAGAAACTGTACTAGAAAATTTAGCGCATGTCCGTTGATAAATCTAGACACTCGACGGTTACTCAACTGCTCGTTGTGTTGATAGTACCCTCTATCGCTAAAATATCGCTTATGTCGCTGGCGATTCTTAGTTAAAGTTCAAAAACTTTACCAATCAAAGAGAACAACAACCCATGTACACTTATAATCATTGAATTCACATTACAACACCAGTAATTTTCAAGATTCCGACCAGTTTCTGTTGGGTTTTCTTGAGATCCGAAGTTCGTGAAGAGGAAGGAAGAAAAAGATACAGAAAGCTATAATGGAACCTCCGAGAGGGCTTTTGTTGCATCTGTGGAACTTCATCTGTTTCTTGCCTTACTTCATTGGCCTTCTGCTTGTTGGCTTTCTTAAAGGTCGCCCCTTTTTATCATATTTGAGTATTTTCTATTTAAAATTCTGACGAATTAACTTGCGATTCAAATGGGTGTATTTGATTTCAGGCGCCATTGTTGCCCCAATAGTTTGTGTTCTTATGACAACTGGAAATTCCGTGATTGTTCTCGGACTCTGGCCAGCGCATGCTGTCTGGGCTTATTTTTGCATTTTAAGGTTCTTTTCGTTTTCCTATTTAAGTTTGCTTTTTTCCCCATTTTGTATGTAAAAAGTGCAATAATCTTGTGTATTATTTTCTGCCATACTACAGTGCTAAACGATTAGGTCCAGTGATGAAGCTTTTGGTCTGTATACTGGTTGCACTACCCTTGGCTTTATGGCCTGTTTGCGTTGTTGTGGGTAGCATTCTTGGTGGCTTAGTGTACGGCTTTCTTGGACCTGTTTTTGGCACTTTTAAAGCCGTCAGTGAAGGAAAAACCGATAAGTTTCGCCATTGTGTCATCGTAAGTAAACACTAAACCAAATTGCTTCAAACTGTGTCGTTTCTCTTTCTTTTCAGTTGATTTCAGCGTTTTTCTCTCAGGATGGAACATGGGATACTATCAAATGGAGTTTAACTTTCGTTAGGGACTTATCGGATGTATGTCTGTATTCCTACTTCTCAGTGATGGATGATCTCCGGAAACAAGACCCTCCCGATGGTAGAATTGAGATCAGGTTTGATACATTTCATGAAAAAGAATCATTTTTATGTTTGATTTCGAGTTGTTTAACTCAATTTGTGGGGGATATTTCAGGGTGGCTTACGTTCCTGTAGCAATTTTGGTCGGGGTTCTAGGGTTTGCAGTTGATTTTCCGGTGATCACAGTTATGGCGGCGCTAAAAAGCCCATACATGTTGGTAAAAGGGTGGCACCGTTTATTTCACGATTGTATCGGTCGAGAAGGGCCCTTTTTGGAGAGCATATGTGTGCCATTTGCAGGTCTCGCTATCCTATTGTGGCCTTTTGCAGTCGCCGGAGCTTTGTTAGGATCCATGGTGGCTAGCATCTTACTTGGCTTTTATGCCGCCGTCGTTGCCTATCAGGTTAATTAACATCTGATATCTCACATATTCACATACTACAGTTTGACTTTTAAAGTCAACTAAACTTTATAAATTCTTCCAGGAGTCATCTTTCAATCTGGGGCTTTGTTATGTGGTAGCTGCATTATCGATCTATGATGAATACAGCAATGATATTCTCGACATGCCTGAAGGATCCTGCTTTCCAAAGTAACATTTTAACCCTCCAATTATCTCTAATTTACCAAAATTTAACCATTTTTAACATTTTTGATAAAATCAGGCCTATATACAGACGGAATGGTGGTTTGCAACCTGGTTCAAGAACGCCATCTTTCTCTAGGCCGGCTTCCTTCAAAAACCCACCATCTCGGACTAGTTCATTCGCGACACCCATGATTGAGTTGAAGCCATTGGTGGTTAGTTACTTTACTTGAACCATTTGGTTTATGGATTAATAATTATATATTAATATAGTTTGCTAATGTTAATTCGAATAGTTGCTTGATAGCTTATTTCAAGAATGTCGTCGACAAGGTGAAATTATGGTTTTGGAAGGATTAATAACAGTTAAAGAAATTGATGATGCAAAATCCGGCAAGGCTAGTGGAAGAGTGATTAGTATCGGTCTCCCGGCTTATTGTCTCTTCCAAGCACTTCTACGGTCTGCAAAAGCCAATTGTACTGGTATATTAATAGGTAAATACAGTACAACCTGTTCTGTTCTATTCTGTCTTGTTTTCTACGTCCCGTAATCAATCTCATTTTACTTTCTTATAACAAAGATCATGTTCTTTCATTTTTGTAATCTAGAGGACAATGTGACGGAGATAACTAGTGCAAATAGGCCAAAAGATACGTTCTATGATTGGTTTTTGAATCCTCTTTTGGTCATCAAAGATCAAATCAAAGCTCAAAATTTGGAGGAATTGGAAGAGGATTACTTGGGGAAATTAGTTCTGTTGAGTGGTGATGCTGAGAAGTTGAAAAACTCAGACATTGGTCCACCACCAGAGTCCGAGCTCAGGAGGGCTGAACTTGATGCATTGGCCCGAAGGTAATAACATTGTTTTTTTAATGTGTTTTTCTTTTCATTTATTTTGTATTTATGAATGTAAATTTTGTGTGGAAGACTTCAAGGAATCATAAAGTCGATATCAAGGTACCCAACATATAGGAGACGTTTTGAGAACAGCATAAGGGCGATATTGGAGGAACTTGATCGGAAAAATGGCAAGGGGCGTCGATCGGCATCGGGATCTGAATCGGAAAGTACGTTTGGTCGGATGTTTAGTAACCAAAGATCTTTTAGAACGAAAACGAGTAATCAAGAAGATGATCAAGACAAAGAAAGAGATGGTGATGTTGTATAATTAGGTTTTACTTTTGTTCTATCTTGATCAAAAGGAGGTAACATGGGTATTTTATATGTAGATTATTAGAGGCCTAGAAGGTTAGCATGTAACCAAATTGTTTGTATATGCAAAATTTGGCATGGCATGTTTGTATCTATTTAAGCTCCCTGTATTGGAGAAAGTGTTTGAGATTTTACAAAGATGATCTGTTATAGCATGTTTTTGTATCTTTTGTATGATGTCCACATAACATTTATTTTAATTTTACTAATTACTTGTCCGTATTTTCAATTAATAAATAATCTTCATCTTTGACGAAACCCTAAGCATCTTCAACCTAAATCATCTTCTGGATGAAGCCATAAGCATGGTATGAAATTTGATCTTGTTACCAAAAATAGATTCCAAAGCCAGAAGCAAAATGGATTTTGTCTACTTCAGTAGTAAATACAGTTCACTTTTCTTAATTGATAATTTCTTTATATGATCTGATGGGTCTTGTATAGTTCTATTTTTCAATTGATAATGGGTTGTGCTATAAATACCCCATTAATCATTTTTACCCCTCTTAAAATCAATCAAATCAAAATTTTGACATTTGGTCGCAACTTGGATTCGAGGTTTTTTAGTGCCAAAAAAATTCATCCGGAAGTAAAAACTGAAAACATGTGATCGCAACGTATGTACATGCGATCGCAAATTCCCTCTATGCGATCGCAGGTATTCCAAAAAGTTCCAAAATAGCATCCTACTTCATTAAAAAGGTTTGTGACGCATTTTCTTAAAACATGTGATCACAACTTTGAAACATGTGATCGCATACGCGTCGTTTTTGTTACTTGAGATATAAATAGACCTTCATAACTTTCCAGTAACCTAAGTTGGAGATTCCATAGGTACCAGACGATGAAAATACGATTTTGGAGGCGTTTCTTCTCTGATTTCAACAATTTCTAAAGATCTGAAGATTGTGGATCATCTCCTTCAAGTAGATTAGTTCAATTAGTTGCTTGATGTCTCTTTTCATTTGTTTTTATCAGATTTTAGCCATGTCTGGCTAAAACCTTAGTTTTTAGTACTACAAAGACAAGTACTTTTCATGTGATTGATCATTAGATCTGGTTTTTGATTTGTGTTTCTATCTAAATTCTTCAGTTTTGTTCTTAATGAATATTTGGTTCTAAATTCTTGTTAGTATGATCACCTAGCTAGGGTTTTATCATTCCAGATAATCAGTTAATAGAATTTGTAATTGTTCTTGTCAACTGGTAAATGTAACAAGTATCGGATTGGTTCTGTTTTGGGATTTAACTCTGGTATAAATTGAAAAATCATATATTTGCGCCTCTGAATTTGTGAGAAGTATTAGGTATTGTTGGGAATTTTTACAAAGAACTTAATGTAATTTTTCTGATTAAATTAAGAGTCTGTTTAATTGAATAGTAAAAAGTTATGGTTAATTGAAGAGCTTGTTTTGGTTAACTAAATAAGGTAAAAGAGATTAGACTAGAGCTTGTTGG